ATACATAGGAAGTGCGTGGCATGTATGTAAATGCCCCTATTATTACAGATGCAGTTTTTGTCCTAAGATCAGCTCCAAGTGTTGCTCAATTATTCAATGCAACTGATCGAGCTAGCTAAATTAAGGCAAAGAAATAAGAGGACATTGCACTAGAGAGAAGGGAATAATGATTATAGATGAAATTCCTTGCAAATTGTTAAAGCTTCCGCCTTCAAATTGGAACAATTAAAAAATGTAATACGAAATGAATCTTTAACAAAAAGAAGGGGGCATTCACACTACCACTCAATTCTTATGAATTTACATACACCTAAATTTTGCATTTTACATTTATATAACCCAAATCTTTAATGTCGCTTAAAGATGCCAACCATTTTAAATTTTTAAAAAAAGTGAAACACGCCTTTTCATGCATACGTAAGCTGGTATATATGGAAAAACAGATGTACATACATAGGAATTGAGTGGTATTTCTGTAAGTATTCCCAAAAAAAAAGGCCATTTTGTTGTTGCTAGTCACACATGAAATGCGGGGTTTTAGTATTCCAGCTCAATGGTTAAGGAAAAATAAAAAATTTTGAAAAATGTTCAAATCTAACTTGTTCAAGAAAGACAAATCAGAATAGTTACAAACAGTTTTAAGAGAATTTGACCAACTACTAGCAACAAAAATGCCACGATAATTTTGTTCTCTAAATTTGGTAAGAAAAGGATGAAGATGTTGCGGAAAAGTATAATTCTTCCATGATTTTAATTGGTTAATCGGTGTCTTAAAGCGCAGCTCACCAATCAATGTACATGGGGGTACCTTAAAATAAAATTAACAATGAAAAAGAAAATCAGCCATAAGCATAAAACAGTTCCAGAGTAAAGAACCTTAAACTACATTTCTAAGCACAAAGCGAACCGGAGTATGCAATCCCACTGAAAAAACTCTCTAATGTCCAAAACATCTATTTTATTACAGAAAATAAAATTAACCATGAAAAAGAAAATCAGCCATAAGCATAAAACAGTTCCAGAGTAAAGAGGCAACAGAAGCCTATAAAAATACTCATTACAGGGTGACATCAAATTTATAAAAAAAAAAAAACAAAGCAAAAATTCAACATCATCATTAGCCTAATCCAACCATTTAAGGTCAACTTTATAAAATCATCACTCCTTTTTTTCCTTGTGCACCATTTTGTGAAAATTATTTTGCACGTCTATCCAAGTTACCTTCAACCTCTCCCACTTTCTTTCCCATGCATGAAATTAATTAGCTGTAATATGATAATTTATCAATCTCCTTCTAATATTTTGGCCAAAAGGCAACATTTTCATATCAGTAACACTAAGCTTGATTTTTGATGACTTATTTAGTACCCAAAACTTGGGCTTAACTGATATGAAAATGCTGCCTTTTGGCCAAACTTAGGCTTACAATATACCAGTTTAATTACAATCATGCATAATCTAACTTCAGATCTCAATAATATTTTTTTATCAGTACAAGTATGAAATTAATAGAGAAGTCTATTAGTATGAACATGATGTTTCTCAAAACCAATTCAAAGTTTGAAATCAAGACGGTAAAGAGATTTATTGACAGATATGAAATATCTAATTATGTTCACGAGGAAGAAGAAAAAGCACAAATTAATCATCATCATCATCATCACCACCATTAGCATTATCCCAAGAATTAGCCAAAAGCTTTACAAATCATCTAATTATCCCCAAGTGGTAAAATGTTAAAACTATTTTACACAAATCCTTTGGCATAACTTCAATCCAAATTACATTCGGTCAATCCCTTTGTTGAATCAGACAAGATCACCCTAAGTTTACATTTCACTACCTTATCTTCAATGGATGCATCCCTTATATCCCTCTAAAATACTCATTGCTGAATATATCCTTTTTATTTTTGTAACATAATTATCTTTACCGACTTTTTTGCTAATGACTTTCTATCATCAATACTTAAATCCATACAGCACAGCTAATCTATTTACAGACATAAAAAATTTAGCTTTTAAGTCTACATGAATTGTCTTATCACTAAAAACGTGACAGAAATACCATTAGCATTATCCCAACAATTAGCCAAAAGCTTTACAAATCATCTAATTATCCCCAAGTGGTAAAATGTTAAAACTATTTTACACAAATCCTTTGGCATAACTTCAATCCAAATTACATTCGGTCAATCCCTTTGTTGAATCAGACAAGATCACCCCAAGTCTACATTTCACTACCTTATCTTCAATGGATGCATCCCTTATATCCCTCTAAAATACTCATTGCTGAATATATCCTTTTTATTTTTGTAACATAATTATCTTTACCGACTTTTTTGCTAATGACTTTCTATCATCAATACTTAAATCCATACAGCACAGCTAATCTATTTACAGACATAAAAAAATTTAGCTTTTAAGTCTACATGAATTGTCTTATCATTAAAAGCGTGACAGAAATAGAAAAATCTATATTATTGTATGAGCAATATTTTTTTCCTCAAAAACAGTTCAATTTTTGTAGTAAAAATAAGTAATCACATTGAATTAGAGATATGAAATCCAAAGTTAACCAAAGAAGAAAGCACATCTAAAGGACAAATAAGAACATACAAAATGCGATGCAATATAATAAAATCATGGTTATAGCAACAAGAACTGAGAAAAGAGTTAACTACTCACTGTAAACAAGTAAATAAAGAATAGAAACCCATGTAGAAATTCACGCTACATAGTTTAAATTACACAGTTCACCGCTACAAAGCATGCTTCTGTTCAGAGCAAAGAAAAATTAAAATACTATTAAAGCATGCGCCACCACAACAAATCATGATGCTATTCCACATCACTTCAGAATGAAGTGAAGTTTTTCTGTGTGCTTCATGTCAAAATCATGCAATTACTAAAAAGAGACATTTACATAGATAGACCATAATTCTTATGTATTTACATATCTCATACCTAAACTATCATATTTACACAGATAACACTCAAATCTCTAATATCACATAAATTATAGCACTACCAACACTTTTTAAAAGTAAAATACACCTTTTCATGCATAGATTTAAAGCACCAAAGTGTCATGTATGTAAATATGAAAGTTTAGGTGTGAGATTATGAAAGTTTATATGTAAATATGAAAGTTTAGGTGTGAGATATATAACTACAAAACAACTTTCTGCTACACGTGAATTTTCCGATTAAAAAACATTAACAAAATTAACCTTAAAAGTATTTTCAGTGTCATGCATGAAGGAACTCTCAGATGCAAAAAATTTATCTCAACTATAATTACTTGGAATATTTGCAAACTCCAAAAAACATAAATTATATCTCAATTCAAAAAAGTGCTGAACTCTAATAATTAAGCCTTAAATAAAACAAAATTAACATGACGATGACCTTTTGCCTTTGTATCAGTTGTTTGAAACCTAGTACTTCTAAAAGGAACGCAGCATATGGAATGAGGACAATAGTCAAAATGAATGCATAAGAATGTCAAACTGCATGAGAAAATCCTTAGGAAGCATATAAAACATAATGGTCCAAGTTTGCTATTTTTTGCCATAAAAATCGAAAATTGAATGAGTTCATACTGGCAAATGTTAGTTAACAAATTTAGAGCTCTGAACAGAAAAAGCAAAAAGAAAATCCTTAGGAAGCATATAAAACATAATGGTTCATAATAATAACAGTCCAAGTTTGCTATTTTTCGCCATAAAAATCGAAAATTGAATTAGTTCATACTGGCGAATGTTTGTTAACAAATTTAGAGCTCTGAACAGAAAAAGCAAACTCAGATTTGATAGGTACTATAGCTCTTGTCTCATGCAGAAGACATAGCATCATAATGAAAATAACAGAATAAGGTAACTGTACTGCATCAGCGTTGACTGAAATGATTGATACTTTTCATTCCATTAACTTGCAAAGTAGAGCAAAAGGATTAGCGTAATAATAAGCCCTCAAAAAGAGAAGTTACAAGTTAAAACCTTTCAGCGGATTATGATTACTAAATGTCAAGATAAGAAAACATTTTAATCATAAAATTCAAGCATTATATTGTCGTTCCAATCATCAACTAACTTAAGTTAAAGAATTTAAAATATCAGAAACAAAGTGTATATTGTTCCTCAACAAAACACCACAAAATTAAATTTTAAGTTGGGAAATTGTAAAATCTCTGAAGGGACAAAACAAAGGTTTACAAAGACATGCATCAGATATAAAAACATAAAAAAGAATTCCTATAGGATACATGATGCAAGAGAATTACAAGGAAGAAGCATTAAACAAAATCGTTTGTTTGTCTTACTATGCTTACAGATAACAAAGAAAAACCAAAAGCCTTTCAAAAATACTTCTAGTTACTGGAGGATTATAACGACTTTTAACCATTGCGCCATTGAGTAACCCTAATATGCTATAAAATAAAAGCAATCAAATAATTAAAAACAGCCTTAAGTACATCAAATTTAAGTTAAAGAACTCAAACACTGAAAAAGTAGTTACACAAGATTGACAGCAGTTCCAATGAAGAAGCTATCCATGGATGACATCAATTACATGCCTGCAACTCTTATGTTTGGCAACAATGCCAAAGACTTCACAAAAGGTTCATCTTTAATATATTTTTTTTTCCAGATATGAAAAAAAATTTACAAAAACAAGAAGTTCTTGGCAACTAAAGAGACATAATTTAAAGACTGCATGATGCATTTTTAAGAGATTAACTAAGACAGCAAGCAGATGCTGCATAAATACCCTCCATTCAGCTCACCAATCTTTATTAAAACACAGTTCATATTTCAAAGCTGCGTACTTCCACATAAAGCTATTATCGTGCCAAAGTTGTGCACTTAAATTGTTACAGTGCAGCCAACTAAAAAAGGCAAAAAATTCCAAAAAAATATGTCATCATTGAGAATACAAAGAATATAAATTTGGGAAAAAATTAAAGGACCTGAAGACCATTGCTGCTTTATTTCTCACCTCAAATTGTTCCAAATCCTTATAAGCTCCGCTTGAGAGCCTGTTTCGCACAGTCCCAAAATCCATTGGTTGTTTGATGATATCAAAGTAATCTGGAAGCTACATGAGCAAGCATCAAATCATCAAGTCTCAGCTGACAGAAAAGAAAATAGTACTGTTCATAGAAGAGAGAGAGAGAGTAAAAGAGGAAGATAGATAAATTAGACCTCTTCTGGATCCACAGGCTCAGAAAATACTCCATAGATGTCCTTCCTGCAGGCAATGAAGAGTGGGTCGGTAAAAAAAAAAATAAAATTCAACTCAAAACACAGAAATCAGCAATCTGCAACCACATAATCCGAAAACAAAAAAAAAAACAGGAACACACTTCTGCAGCCTATCAAGGATGGATTCCAATAACTTTTTGTCTGGCAGAGGCATTGCGGGGCCCAAATCAGATGTCCCTGCACAGATCATATATAATAAACAAATAAATCAACTAAAAATCTCCATACAGATGGAGGAGAAATCTTCTATCATGAAATAAATGCACAAAAAGTATACCTTGAGGAGCTTCTGTCGCTTTCCACGCAGAATTTTTTCCTTCTGTCTGCTAGAAAACAAAATCCAAAATTAGTCAACTGAAATCATGCAACGTATGCGCTTATATTAATATATATATATATAAATATAATGAGAAAGAAAGAGCGAAAACAGTTGCAAAAAAGCAAATTTTAAAGAGAATCCACATTCAGCAAGCAGGTCCACTGCCGCAAAAGCTGGGAAAAGCAGAGGGAAATTCAGAGAAATTCTATGAAATAAAAACCAACATTTTCCACTGATAAATGAAGCAGAGCATGATTAATGCGTTCGAATACGGGGAAAGCAAAAAATGACTAAATAATTAAAATAAAATAAAGAGCAAAACAAGAAAGATCGCCAGAAAAAGGAAGTTGACCACGTCAAATACAAAAGCCTTACTACATCGCACCGCGGAAATCCTACAAGTTTCAAACTGGAGCAGAATCCTATAAAGTCGCTCACCGAACCGAAGTAAGCGCATTGATTCCCGATCCCCGGACCAAAACCGTACAAAAGCCAGCCTAATCTATAAATCCCCCAAAAAGCACTAAATCCAGGGCCACTTCCCTGCAGAACAACGGATCGCCGCATCACAAAGCATGGGTACGGCGATTCCAACATGAAATTGGTAATTTTCTATTATTTAGGGATGATTAGTCAATTGAACCTTTGCCAAGGTGTCAATCTGCTGCTTCTCAGTGACGGTGCCGTTCGATTCGGCTGCGTAGGATGCCAAATCTGAAGAAGTGGTGCTGGGGTGAGGGAGGTGGAGGACTAATTTGAGCTTTTTCTCCTTTCTTCTCTCCTTTGGTTCGTCGTCGTCCTCATCGTCCTCCATTGATGTTGCCGCCTCCGTATCATCCCCATCCTCTGCCGGAGAAGGTGGTTTAGGTTCCGAGCTAGGGTTTCGGCGTGTGGAGCTGCGGCCGGCGGAGGGAATAGGGAAGCGGGCGTAGGGGTTGGGGATAGCGCTAGGGTTAGGGTTTCGCTTCTTCTTTTGCTCCTGCAGCTTCTGAAGCCGGAGGCTGCGCTTCTGTAGATCGAGGAGAGAGGGGCGGCCTTTCTTCTTCTTCTTCTCTACAGCCTTCCCCATCTCTCTCTCCCTCTCTCTCTCTCTCTCTCTCCTCCTGCTTGCTTTCTCTCTCTAACTACAATTGTTGAGTGATTTTTAGGATTTTTTTATATTTTGTGTTTTTTTGGCAACTCACGAATTTTAAAGCACGTCGGCACGTGACAGACGCAACCCATTCTATGGCCTTTTTTTTTAATTTATTATTTATTTTTTTTTAAATTTAGTTTTGAAATAAAATGAAATACAATAATATTAATTATGAGTGATTACTAAGACTAATCTTAATAAATAAAAAATTACATACATATCACACAATTCTTATTTATTTACACATCTAACACCCAAAATTTAATATTTATATTAATAACAACTCGATGTCACAAAATTATGCCTGAAAATGTATATTTCAATTTTTAATAGAGATTATGATATTATTAATGTGATCTAAAATTTTAAATGGTACAAATGAATGTTTAGGTGTTAGATAAATAAATAAATGAAAATTATGTGGTATTTTTATAAATTATATTTTATTCAAACTTATATGTTCATTATTTAGTCATTTTTTTTAATGTCACTATTTAATGATTTACTCTATGATTTTTTGTTTTATTTACACTTGCATTAACTTTTTTGAATATTTCTATAATATATATAATTTGGGTCAAAGATTTTAACTTGTATGCTCATTAAATATACTTTACAAAACATGTAAATAAATTTTAATGGATTAATCATATAATATATTAATTTTGAGATAAATTTAATGGCTATTGAACACATATTAAATTGAGAAAGAAATTGATTCACAAATAGTTTACTCATTGCTTTCATTAGGACCATAAATAAACAAATATGAATCATAACCTTGGCAATAATATCATAAACAATGACTCTTGATATACCTTACAATTGCTAAACCACTATCAAATTTAATTTAATTTAATTGTATAAATGATCATACAAATATGAAATGAAGTGTCAGCAGTAAATAAAATAGTAAATTGTCAAAATAGTCTCTGACTATTTACATGAAACCGCTTTAATCTCAGAGTTTATATAAGTGTTAAAATAGTTCTCTGACTTTTTAAATTGGGGTTGAATAATCCTCTTAGAGCACAATTTTAAAATAGATGGCGACTATTTTGACAATCCTATAAACTCGGGGACTAAAATGACATATAGTCGGGGACTACTTTGACACTTTACGTTAACAAAAATGCATCCCATCAAGATTATACTTGTATTTCTTACCTAACACATTTGCATTTTTCACTTTGTTTCTGACATAAACTAATATGTTATGCATTCAAGCACATTATATTTATATAACTTGATATACTAGTCCTCTAAAAAATTTAGGATAGATTTCAAAAACATTTACAATCCATTTATGTCATACAAAAGAGTCATCCACATATCACTAAACTAAATGCAACATTGCAAGAATGTATTGTTTACTTTAAAACAAAACTTAACAGTAATTTTCTCATATAAATACAACCAGACAAGATTGCAAAGTGTGTTGTTAGTCACAATTCTTATTCCATCAATGACTAATCCTTCGCTAAAATAAGATATAAATAAGTACAAATAGTGTGATTTGATTTCAACAAAACAATTTGTGCATATATCATGCAACCCATAATATGACAATGTAACACATCATATGGCATTAACATGTTCACCAAACATGTACAACATATACAATTGATGAACAAACCAATACTAGTAATCAAACATCAATAAAGCAATACCAAGATGATAATGCAATCAACAAGAGCAATGACTGACATTTCAACCAACAAACAAATAGAAATATAATATTACATTTACAAGATACACATGTTGTTAACGTATTTTTTTCTAATCAACCAATCAATATTATCCTTTTAATTTCTCTTTTATTAATTTAAGTTGGCACTCACTTCATAAAAGAGATATTTTTCGATCAATACAATGATTCCATTTAAAACTGCAATCAGAAATATGTTCAACTTTATGCTCACATAAGCTTTAATGAAAACTAGTAACGACAATCTCCATGGATGGCAAAAAATCCTAACTAACTTGTAAAGTTTACTCAACCTTTAACCAATCATTATATACATTTCTCAACATTCATGTAGCCTAAAATATTTCTAATACCTCATATATATATATATATATAGTATTTAGAGTCAAAACGACTCGAACAAGAACGACAAAATTTTTGTTTGTGTTTCTATAAGCAACAATAGCTCACAATAGGAAACATCAATTAAATCAACATGCATATATGAATAATAGCATCATCACAAGAACCGTTTCTAATATATGTATGATCACATATAGAGCTTCATAATGGGTGTAGAAACATATTAAGAGCAAAACAGAGAGCTATGATCAGCATGCATCTCTAAGATGTTGTGCATGTTTCATGTTAACATGTAATACAATGGTAGTATGATCAGTAACTTGACATGATAGTTTATAAGTCAATATATGGTAGAATACCTCACAACACAAAAATAAATTATTTTAAGATACTAAGAAAACCAGTAAAATCTAATATAATCATATAAATATATAAAAATATACCAGAAGTTATGCAGTGAATGTTGTTGATATACAACCAAATCCTCATCTTATTAAAATTTATATGAATAAAACATGAGAAAACACAACAAGATATTATTTTTTAAATATTGAGATAGGTAAGGATAGCTTACTATTAAAAGGAGAAACTTGGAAACTTGATTTCCTGAAAGGCCTGAGAAGAACATGTGTTTGAGAGTCTTGATGAGGGAATGAGAAAACAAAAATTATGTGTTGCAATTACTCTATGAGGGTATAGAAAAATGCAACAAAATGATTAAGTGCAAGAAGGGGATTTCTAGTGCTTTGGTTAGAAAATCTACATCTGCTTTCAAAGTAATCAAGAGTGAACATGAACTACAGTAAGTGTATTAGCACACAAAGCAGGTTGCTATAAAGCACTTTCCCGAATGAGATGTAAATATATAAAAGAGCTTTGGGAAAGTTGTAGGACGTGAAAACACGATGGATTTAAAGAGTAATAGATGGGCAAACATCTCGCAATAGAGCTGAAAATTAAAAAAAAATGATTAATAGGTATGAGCCTTTCGCATGATGAATTTTAAGATTTACAGATAAGTCTTTAAAGTTGTGTGCTCCTTTGAAGAGTATTACATCGTATGGCTACTGGGATGTAACGATATCATCACTCTGTAATAAATGGATATGTTCATTAATTGGCATGGCACATTGAATTTAATGAGATCTATAATAAATAGTACTAGAGGTTATGTTCAAAAATATAGGATCATTGAGTGAAGCAAGGAGCTTGTAGTATTATTAAGAAGTTTATTCAAATGCACATACTGATAGACATCTCCGCAAGGTGTTTTCAAGTGGATCCTTTAAGATGTGCATTTGAAAGAGTCCTAATGCAGAACCTTCATATCAATGATGGTTCAAATCAATTAGTGATGAATGCCCCATTATTGTTGGAGAATGCATCAAAATGTTAGAAAATTTTCAAAGATTATTTTCCCCCTATATTAAGACATTACAAGTGTAATACATAGTGCTTCATAATATACTTTCATCACCGCATTATTTAAACCATAGACTGCGTTTGCAAATTCATTGGCATTAACCAACAAAGAAGACTTCAAAGCAAATGTTTCTTCAGCAATGGAAATACCAAAAATAGGACAATGCAAAAGATAATGCCCCTCTAGCAACTATTGATTTTTTGGTTAACCCATCTCCAACTCGACTTTGGGTTCTATGACAATGGTCTTCAATGAAGTGGTGAGGGATTAAAAAAAGTATGTTAAGATGGAAAAGAGAGGCAATGGTGCCATCAAAGCACCACAAATAGAGGAGGCAATAACTTTTATTGGGTTCCCAATTAAGGTGTTGGCTGTCGATGACTACATTGGGAGACTAGAAGTGCAATTAGAGGGAAAATGATGCCAAATTACAGGAGCACAAAGATGAGCCTCCTTTAGAAGAGAACAAACTCAAGGAGGAAAATGTTGGTGGTAAAGTTGAGGAGGACAAGCTATGTGAAGAGAAAGGAAATTTTGAAGGAAGAGATGTGGTATCTATAGGATCCTTTTTCACTGCAATAGCTATTGTGGATATTGTAGCAATTCAAGTGCCTATGTAGGCCTGAGAAAACATAGTTGAATACAAATTAAATCCCAGTGGGATATGATGTTATATAAATACTTTGTATATGAGAGATGACCCTGGGATGTTCATACGAAGGGCAAGCTAGACTTTGTCCCCTAAAAGGAACTCCTAGATCAAACACTATAGTTCATGAAATATGTTGTGAGGGATTTCATTGGTAGGAGGGAGGACTTGGTTTGATGAAGCGGTAAGTTGGGGTACGACAAAGGGAGTCCAAGTGAAAGGAATATGTTGTGTCATCGAGATCATCATTGAATAATGAAACGGGAGCAGTTCAACCTTACAGTAGAATTCATGTACTTAGATGTCCTTAAAGGGGGAAATCCTTGATCTATGGAAGAGGAAGGTAGAATCCAATAATGTTCGTGATAGCCCAAACTAAAGATTCATGCAAAAAAAAAAAAAGAAATCTCAATATATGGTTCCTCCAAACGATGGATACAATCTACAAGGACGTGTGAAAAAGGAAAAAAGTTGACCTCCTTGTAGAAAAGAGTTCTTGAATAGCGGGAGTTGGATCGTAAAGCTCAGTTATCAATGCAACATTTGTTATCCATTAGAGGTATTGCTGGCAATCACTCGAAAATTAGGAAAAATGATGTGGTTTCTCATATATGACAACCAATTGCTACGTGGTAATAAATTCATGACAGCAAAGAATAGGGTGTGCATCTTAGATTTCATGAACATCATCAAACACACATTCCCCTTCACCCTTCACTGTTGGCAATCACTCCAAAAGTAGAAAATATGATGTGGTCCATCATATATGACAACAAATTACTACGTGGTAATATATTCATGACAAGAAAGATTAAGGTGTGCATCTTAGATTTCATGAACATCATCAAAGTTTTATTGATTTGAATCACCAAAAAATAATTCAGGTCAATTCAAAGGCAAGCCATCAATTTCTATTTCTAAATAATATAACCGTCATATAAAAAAATATTTTGAATTGATTTATAGCAATGTATGGACATTATTACTCAAGTTATATCACATGAAAACTATAAATACTTTACAAAATTTAGTGATGATTACAACTTCTCATGAATTTATTTTCTTTGCCGAAAATCTTAAATTTAACTATCTGTTAAAATTTTTTAGATTATGTTGAAACTTGATTCTCGTTTCACATCATAATATTTTGTTAAGATACTAAAGGTGAATAAATGTGACTTGAATTTCAAGGTTTTCTCAAAGCACAAGAAATACTTTTGGGTAACCATGTCACAACCGAGTTAAATGATATAGTCCATTGTGAGAATCACCATATCTTAGATGTTACTAGAACTTTATTACAAAAATATTCTCACCTAAGTTTTAAGTTGAAGCGTTGCACAAGAAATACTTTTGAGTAACCATGTCACAACCGAGTAAAATGATATAGTCCATTGTGAGAATCACCATACCTTAGATGTTACTAGAACTTTATTACAAAAATATTCTCACCTAAGTTTTAAGTTGAAGCATTGAACATAATAATCTATTAAATCAACTTCTCAAGTTTTGAGGTTTAACCATCATCTTCTCATTCAAAAGCATACATCTATTGGTTGTGTTAATTTTGTGCATTTACCGAGTCATAAACATCACAAACTCTATATCAATATCTTAAATGTATAATCATGAGCTATAGAAATTCTCACAAAGATAATATCTTTTTAATTCATACTCCAAAAGAGCTCATTGGTTAGAAAAAAGTGAAGAATCTCGATCAATTGAGTTTGAGCGCTCATCCTACCAAAAAAAAAAAAATCTTATTTTTGAAATATAGTTATAAAGATAAGGTAAAATAAATAGAATTCAAAATTAATCCTATTTGAAATTAATTATGATCTTAACAAGGCATTCAAATTTAAATTAATATAATCCAAAAAGGATAATTAAATCAAGTAAAATAAATCAACTGAAAAAAGAAGTTCAACTAAATTTACAAAATAAATAGTGATGAAAATGGGCTTGATTTAGTTATTTTATAGTTTAATTTGACTTCCTGTAATTAGTATACAATTACAACAATAACAAGTCTTTATCCCACTAAGTGAGGTCGGCTACATGAATCTTTTTTCTCCATTGTGCCCTATTGAGTGTCATATTTTCAGTTAATTCTAATAGATTACGATAATTTTGTATACAATATGCCCAAGTCTTTTTAGTCCTACCTCTGCTTTTTTTAACATAAGTCAATTCTAAAACATTTACTCCTAACCAGATCATTAGATGGTCGATGTTTAACGTGACCAAACCGTCTAAGATGACTCTCTCTGATCTTGCACGTCACTGAAGCTACACCAGCCCTATCACGGATATACTCATTTCGCATTTTGTCTCCAAGTGTCAAGCCACTCATCCACCTAAGCATTCTCATCTCAGCAACACTTAACTTTATTTTATGCTTATCTTTAAAGGATAACATTTTGTCTCACCATCATATTATAAAATTTTCCTTTAAGTCTAAGCAGTATTTTTCTATCACACAATAAGCCCAATGCATTCCTTCACTTCTCCTTCACTTCAACCAACCAACTTGAATTTTACTAATAACATCGCCATCTATATCATCATCACTTTGAACAATAGATGAGAGATATCTAAAATGTTTGCAAAGTTTAATGATTTGATCACGCATAGTTACAACTTCACTACTAGAGTTACTACTACTAAAGATACATTTCATGTATTCAATTTTATATCTAATCAAACGAAGGCCTTTAGACTCTAATGTAAACCTCCATAATTCAAGTTTTTCCTAAAATCTTTCTCTAGTCTTATCTGCAAGGATATCATCAACAAAAAAACATACGCTGAGGTGCATCCTCTTGTAAACGTCTAGTAACAACATTCATAACTAAAGTAAAAGAATAGGGGTTTAAAGTCGATCCCTGATGTAATCCACTTGAAATAGAAAAATACTGAGTCAATCCTCCTTTTGTCTTAACACAAGTAACAGCTCTAGTATACATATCTTTGATGACTTGAGTATAGGTTATATCAACACATTTCTTCTCTAAGTTTCTTCAAAGGACTTCTCTTAGAACCTTGTCGTAAGCTTTTTCTAAATCAATAAAAAATTATATGTAAATCCTCCTAACTTTCTTTGTACTTCTCCATCAAATATCCCAATAATTGTATAACTTCCATAGTGGACCTGCCCAACAAATCCATACTGATTGTGAGAAATCTTTGTATCACATATTAACCTATGTTTAATTACCTTCTCCCATACTTTTAAAGTATGACATGTCAACTTAACTCCTCTATAATTTGCACACTCTTGTGCATCCCCTTTATACTTAAAAATGGGGACCAAAATACGCTTCTTCCATTCCTCAAACATCTTCTTAGTTTTTAAAATAATATTAAAGAGTTTATTAAGTTGAAAAACTCTCAAATCTTCTTGTCGGCGTTTAAAAAGGGGGGAGTTACGTTTGGGGGTCGCCCGTAAGATTAATGATTTTTCACCCTTGATTTTCTTTAAAACCTCCTCAACTCTTTTTTACTAACATCACGGTAAAAATAAAATATATTATTATTATTAACAATATTAAAATCACTAATATTGATTGTATTTTCAAAAACTTTATTGAAGAGTTTATCAAAATAGCTCACCCATTCTCTAATACACTTTTGTTGAATTAAATCTTTACTTTTATTTTCTCTTTGTTTGGCTAGTTTATGCATATATTTTTCACCATTTTTAGTATTTAATATATTATAAAGAACACAAAAAACAGAATTTTTAGCGTCACAGAACAAAATTTTAACATTACAAATTGTTCTCATAGACTCCTTACAGGTCACTTTATATTTTTCTCAGTTCTCTAATTTTTTACATTTAAACCAATTCTCATAGCACAACTTATTATTCTTTATCTTTTCTTGCACATTATTATTCCACCACCAGCTATTTTTATTTATAAAAAATCTTCCTTTTGATTCTTCATATAATCCTTTTGTCACTTATTTAATAGTGATTGTTACTTTATCCCATATAAAATTAATTTCTTCATGAACATCCCAAATTTTGAAATCTTGAAATTTACTCATAAAAATATTTTTATTTGTACCTCACGACTAATTAGATTTTTACAAGTTGAATTACTCTAAACATTGGTTTATTTTACAAAAAATTTCCTATCATAGAAAGAACTTTTTTATCAAAGTTCATATCGCTATAGTCATCCAATAGATCAAACTATAAATTTTGCAATTCACCTTCGGTCATCTATTATATCACTTAAAGGAGTTCTCAACTTCCAAGCATACAAAAAAAATTGTAATGATTTGATCTATATAACTAACAACTAACCATTTGTCAACGAATTAACAAACAATCCCCAAGGTTTGTTATGGGAAAATCTATAACATAAATATTAGAACTAATTCTCCTACTTATTTTAAAAAATTAGCAGGCCCTATAATGCAAATTATTATGTATAGCATGAACACATATAAATAATGGTAAAATAAACTTCAGACATATGCATATTATTTAATATTTTTTAAATAGATGAAGTGAATCAAATATATGATGTGCAAACGATATGACAGAATCAATATATGAATGTATTGATAAAGAGGATAGGGCCTTGTATGTAGAACGTATAGGAGTATTGGATTCAAATTTAGCAGTAGAAAGATATAAGATTCAATTTATATAGACATTTTCCACTAAGAAATCTCAATAGTTATCTTAGACTTGTATTTACTATCTCTTTGTGGCCATTAGCTTGCAGGTAAAAGAATGACAAAAACCAAGGATAATACTAAAATTTTTTATAGAGTATTCTAGAAATAAGTAACCTAAGTATTCCAAAAACAACAAGCCTTTATCCCATTAAATGGAGTTGACTACATGAATCATTTTTCTCTATTGTGTTCTATTGAGTGTCATATTTTTATTTAATTTTAATAAATTAAGATCATTTTTAATAAAAGAAGCCCGAATCTTTTTAGGCCTACCTTCACCTTTCTTAACATAAGTCAAATCTAAAACATCTACACTTTACCTTTCTTAACATAAGTCGAATCTAAAGCAT